TCCGGCTCCCGGACCCAGAGCCGAGCTCGCCGGGCTCTGAAAGTGCGGGAAGAGTTAAAGCAGGGAACTGGCGGGAGAAATGGGCTGAAATTCCTGCCAGGTCAGTCAGGTTAGGCACCAAGAACTTCGGGTCGGGATCCGACCTCAGGGAAGCCCCCCGAAGTCTGAGCCGGAGGCGTCGGGAGAGGGGTGGAACGGAGGCGGACGGACGGACGGCTCCAGCTTCGGCCCCGGGAACAGAGCGGGCCGGTGCCTCCCGCCCGCCGCACCTCCAGGGGCGGACCTGCATCGGGACCCTCTGCTGTCGTCCCCAGATCCAGACTCGGATTGCTAACGAAAAGTACCTAAGGGCCCACAAGGAAGTGGAGTTGCTCCTCAGTGGCTTCTTCAGGTAGGTGCTTTTCAGACTGGCCTTGGACAGCTGGTGGGGTTTTATCAAATCTTGCTGGGGTAGGTGAATTGAGTGTCCATTCTTTAAACGCCCCCGTTGCTTCTGACTTAAAAATTAGAACAAATCCTAAAATCAAATTTTTCTAACACTTAGATTTGTGGTGCTGAGATTTTCTTAAATCATCTCTTAGAGGTCTCCTTCGGTTATATCTAAATTCTTTATTCTTTCTGTGTGTGTGTGTGTGTGTGTGTGTGGCACTGGGAATTGAACTTAGGGCCTTCGTAATGAGCTACATCCTCAGCGCTTTATTTGCTTTTTGAGAGATGGGTCTTGCTATATAGTTCAGGGTGATCTTGAACTCACTATATAGCCCAGCCTGGCTTTGAACTCCCAGCTATCCTCCTGCCTCAGCCTCCCAGAGCTGGAACTACAGGCATGTGCCACTATGTCCGGCTCCTTTTTTATTTTGAAACAGGTTCTTGCTAAATTGCTGACTTGCCCAGGCTGGACTTGAACATGCAATCCTCCTGTTGTAGCCTCCCAGAAGGCTCAAATTACAGATGTGTGCCACCACATGTGGCCTCTAAAGTCTTCAAATATTAATATTCATTCACTTTAATGGTGAAGGTAAGTAAATATGCATTACCCTTGGAAGAGGGAATTTGGCTTTGAGAAACCCCACAAGCGGCTACTGGATATAGAGCATTATTCCCAACCAGAGGAGCTAGACAACATCACTAGTAGGGTTTTACAACATAAAATTAAGAGCCAGGTGTGGTGGTGCAAGCCTGTAAGCCTAGTACTCAGGAGGCTGAGGCAGGAGGGTCGCAAGGAGGCCAGCTTGGGCTACATGCTGAGACCCTTTCTCAATAAATAAATAAATGAATTCAGATATCTCCCCCTTCCCTACCTGAGAACATTGTTGTAGAAAAACTCCAAGGGTTGATAGCTGCTTATTTCTTCGGCAAGAGAAGACTGTTTTCCTTCTCCACACTGCATTTCAGCCTGGCATTTGCTTGACTGGAAACATCTACTGCAGTGAAAGTCAGAGAACTGAAGAAAGAAAAAAAATGGAGCAGCAGTAGATGAAAACAACAGAGTGGCCTCAAATGCTGTTTGGCTATAGTCAAACCAGCAAGGTTTAAATGATCATAACGGCGTCTGTTTCTGGGCACCGAACTGTTTCTCTAGCCCAGCCACCATCACATCGCGTTGTAACTGCCTCTGTCTTCCGGCCGTCACTGGTCAGTGCTCCAAGCTGCTTGTCGTGTGTGTGTCAAATCCACAAAAGACAAACTTGTGCAGGGTGTGCCGGTGCACACCTGTAGTCCCGGGGTCAAGAGTCCCAGGCCAGCCTGGGCTACCTAGCAAGACAGAACAAATCAGACAAACAAAATTACCCTTGCGTTTTACAAGTGTGCCACTCTCAGAGAAGCTAAGTACTTTCCTCGCGTTGCTGAGCGGCTTACCAGACCCCTGGCTCTTCCGCTGTATTGTGCTGTAAGCACCGGCGCTTATAGCGAGGGGCCGCTCTCCTGGGTCTAATGGAAACCAGGCCTCAGTAGCTTGGTGGTATCTGGGGCTGGCCTCTAACTCACCACAATCTTCCTGCCTCAGCCTCCAGTGCTGGGATTACAGCTGTGTGCCACTCTGCCTGGCTTTATTTGCTGTCTTTATGAACTTGGGCAAATGATTAACCTTTTGGAGACTGGGTTTCTTCATGTGTAAAATGAGGACACCGTAACTGCCATTTCACAAAGATGCCATAAAGTGAGAATATTTGTGAGTATATTTCACGAGCCATAAAGCTTGAGGGGATGTAAGACATTTTCAGCACCCTGGGACTCGGGTTGTTATCACGGCGCAGGGCCAATGACCATCTGCAGTCATCTTTTCAGCTTTATCCCCTCCCCTCCGCCTTGGGAGCTCATGGCCTCACAGCATTGTGGAGTTGCCCGTCTCACTACACACAAGCCCCTGAGGATCGTGCAGTGTGCTCTGCGGGTCAGCTTTCTGCCCCGAGCTTGATCTTGGCTCTGTGAGAGTTGGCGTGGTGGCGCACACCTGTAACCCCATCACTCAGAGAGGCTGAGGCAGGAGGGTTGTACATTTGAGCCCAGACCAGGCAATTTAGTGAGAAACAAAAAGTCTGGAGGTGTAGCTCAGGGCAAAGGCCCTGGATTCAAGCCCCAAGACTGCAAAATAATACAGTAATACTGATAAGAGCTTTTGGAATGGAGCACTTCACTGGGTGAAGTGCAGCTCCTTTGTGAAAAGAGCAACAGCCTAGGCTTATTGCCATTCAGAATGTTTTGCTCCTTGCCTTAGATTGTTTTGTTTTGTTTTGTTTTTTTGAGACAGGGTCTCACTATGTACTTGTGACTGACCTGGAACTCTCTGTGTAGCCCAGACTGGTCGCGAACTCACAGTGATCCTCCTGCCTCAGCCTCCCGAGTGCTGGGACTACAGGCGTGCACCACCGTGCCCGGCTTCCTTGCCTTAGATCTTGAGTTGAAGAAAAATTATGAAGTGTCTTTATCCAAGGTCCCCTGGGTTACTGTGTCACATGTCAGTCTGCAAGCAGCGGCGGCCACACCTGCCTTACAGCCCACTTCCCCTCCAACCCTGTCCCTTCATGTTTTCCAGAGAGATGTTCCTGAAGAGACCGGACAGCGTCCTAGAGTTTGCTGCAGGTGAGCGTGCCAGCATCCATGCGGGATGTGGCCCAGCTGTGCCCAGGTGTGGTTGGTGGTGCAGTGCACAGCAGCCAGTGTTCCCGACGCCTGGTCTGCGGCCCGCCTTCACCTGTGGACCCCCGAGGGCACTGTTTCAGGCTACGCTGTCGATTCCTCAAAACGAGGCCAGATAGGAAACGAGGCAGAATTTCCTCTGGAAAGGATTAAGAACTCGGAGAATCCAAAAGGAACGAAAGGAACATGCTGGGGGCCCTTTTGCTGGGAATCTTACAGTGGTTCTGCGCCTGGCTGTACATTAGAATCACCTGGGGAGCTTTTAAAAAATTCCGATGCTCAGGCCCCACCCCTAGAGATTTATACTTAATTAGTCTGGGTTGGGCCCATCCGTAGTTTTAAAAGCTCCCCAGGTGATTCTGCCTGTCTCGGATGCCCAGGAGGGCTTAAGGTCAACAGTATTTAGAGGGAAGGTGCCCGGCTAGCTGATTTCTTGGGTGCAGTGAACTCTGAGAGCGATTTGCCTCCTCAAACTGCTCCTAGCAGAATCTAAGTCTGTCTTTGCTGCCACAGCAGATGCTGCCTGTGACTCACACACTGCCAGTGGTATAAAAACCCTCTCCCTTCGTCATCCTGCAGAGCCTGGCTCTCCTCCGGAGGCTCTCAGAGAGGGCTACATGGTACTTCAGAGGCAGGAGCTGGCAGGCCAAGTGGAGACAAAAATAATAGTTGGCATTTATTTGGGCCCCGAAATGGGCCCAGAACAGAAAACCCAGAGAATCCCTGAGCCCCTGACAATTTCCTGTGTGTCAGCAAACAGCCAGCAAAGGCCCAGAGCGGTGGGGGGGGGGTGCCCTGTCGGCCCTTCCAGAGACTGTTAGCTCCTGCATCCTGAGCCACGCTTGGGGCCACGTGACCGTGAAAGCCAGCGTCCGCAGCCATCCTCAGACCAAGCCCTCCTCACTTTTTAGCAGAGTAAGCTGTCTCCCTCTCAGTTTTCCCCCCTTGAGTATAGATGATTTCTTCTTTTTGATTTTTATCCCAGACTATTTCACGGATCCAAGACTTCCCAACAAGATTCACATGCAGCTAATTAAAGACAAGAAAGTGACTTAATCAGCTGTTGGGAGAGACCAGACGGAACCCAGCCTTGGGTGGGTGTTAACTTCGCTTACACATGGCATGGCTTCACTCCTGCGAAAAGAAGTACCGGCTTATGGGTCCGGGTGTGAAAAAAAGCAAGTGGAGAAGCCAAGAAGTTTCATGGAAGCCTTTAGTTCTCCTGACACTGTTTTGGGGATTAGGGACTGAAGGGAGGCTCAGACACTGTCTGGTGACTTGGACTGGGAGAAACGGAAGCAGAATGGTGGCGGCAGGGAATGGCGGGTGGATGCTCTGCCTTTCCCGGGACCCTCCGGTGCGGCTGCAGCCGTTTCCTGGGTGCATCTTGGGTAGCAGAGTTCCGGTCCCCTCACCTCTGAACCAGGCCATGATGCACCCCGCGCCGTGGGGTGGGGGAGCTTCCTGAAACCATTTTGAAGGCTGGGATTTTTTTTTTTTTTTAATGCAAGGGGGAAAAGGCCACTCTCCTAATTTAGCGGATCTGTTTCTGTTTTGCAGGGTCATCTGGAAGCAGGAGAGCCCAGGCTGCCCTGGGGTCTGTCTGCTGCGACAGGCTTTGGGAGAGCCTCATTAAAACCAGACCTTCCCGCTCTCCTTGCCTTGTCTCACTGAGCAGGAGGAGGGCACCAGCCTGTGTGTCCTCCCGGGTGGCCAGAGGCCCGGGTGGGCGCCGCTCCCAGATCCAGGACTGGCAGGAGGTGGTGGGGTGCCTGCCCGAGGGCCACGGCCCATCCGCACCTCAAGTGTCACTTTTATTCCACAGATGACTGATGGGCGGGGAGGTCGCACAACACCGGGAAAGGCCATCTCAGGGCGACCCGGAGCCGGTGGACTTCGTCCTTGGGGACTCTTAGGAACGAGCTGCTCACCCGTAAGAGGCAGGAGAACAGGCTGGTCAGCCCCAGTGGGGTCCTGTCCAGGCCTGGGAGGCTTGGGGGTCTTTTTGTCTCTTCCCTCTCTGGCCTCCACCGTCCGCTGCTTCCACGCTCACCTGTGTGTCATTTGTCAACATCACCATGGCAACAGAAGCGCAGGCCAAAGCAGGGGTTGTGTTATTTTGATTTCCCTTGTTTCTGCCCTCCTTGTTCCCAGCTGCCATCACCTGGAATAGTAGAAAGGGCAACAAAACGGCATTTAAGGGACAGTTAAACCTATGCCGAATCAGCTGTGGCCGAAGAACCCAAGGAGTTATTTTAAGTGCTTTCAGAATCACACTTCGGCAGGGCTGGCACAGACGGCCAGGTGGCCTTGTTGAGCAAATCCAGACAAAGCCTTCAGCAGAGACCCAGCCAGCCAGGCCCTCCGGTGTGAAGCGTCGTCTCCTGCGCCTTCTCTCGGGAGAGGAGCGGGACAGGAGGGCGCCGTGGCTGCAGGGCGCAGAGTGGGTGGTGCAGCTCTCTGGGGGCGGTGAACTCCATCCTGGGGGCTCCTGGTGGAAGTAAGACCGCGTTTCTCTTAACATGTATATATTTAAACACTTCTCAAAGCCTCCCCGAGAAGGAGCATCTTTAACTCTTGGTTGTAGGGCTTCTACCTGTGTGAAATGCTGTGCCAGGCCCTGGGGAAGGACACAGGCCTCCTGCCCGGCAGTCATTTAGGGTCTGGAGAGGGGACCCCTTTCCTCTCATGCCTTTACCTGTCTGTCTCACCTGATAGGATGAAAGGTTCACGAGGGTTGGAGCCAAACTTAAAAATCTAACTTGTTCGCCACTGAGACCCAAGTGCCGGCCTTCGTGGGGGGAGTGAACGCCTGCATGGCTGAGCCAGTGGCTGCCTGATGGCCGCCACCTGGCGTGAAGTAGGTGCCGCGGTGGGAGGAGGGACCGGGCGGACGGCAGAGCTGGGAGGGGCGGGCTGGCCCGAGTACCAGTGGGGACGGACCCTGCCTGCTTCCTCATGACCTTGCTAACAGCGCTCCAGGTTCTAGGATAGCTTTTGTTTTTGAAAGAAAGAAGGAGGAAGAAGGAAAAGAAAAGGGTGAACAGATCGAGCTGGTGTGGCCTTCCTTTTCTTTCTGATTCGGACCTAATGCCATGTCTAGAACTCAGTGGCCGCCTTAAGTGGCAGGGCAAGGTTGGTAGCCAGCCCTCTAATGTCTGAGAGCAGATGGCGAGATCCCCGGCCCTGATTACCCACCTTCAGACTCGCTGGTGAGTGAGTGGGAAGTCTAATTTTTAAAAAATCAAACCAGAGTTTGAATCTGAATCCACTGCTTAGCAGCTGTGTGGCCTTGGCCGTGTTACTCACCTTAGGGTTGTTGGGCTGGATCTGTGGGATGGACGGTGCCCAGCCCAGGATGAGAGCAGATGGCAGGCGGCAGATCACTGAAGGTGCGGTGTCCTGGACAAAGGAGGTTAGGCGTTTCTATGTAGGCAATAGAGAGCCCATGAGGGGTCTTAAGTCACGAGGAGCTGTGTGATGGTGTGGAAGACAAATTGGACCAAATAAGACTACAGATAGAGAGACCTGTGGGGAGGCCACCTCAGCGGTCAGAGCTGCTGTTGTGTCATCTGCCCCACTGCTCTGTCCACTGTGGCCACTGGGAGATATGTAGGTGCAACTAGCAATCCAATCTACAGTGACTTACGGGGGTGTTTCTCACCTAATGATGAGTTTGGCAGCCAGCAGGAGTCTGAGTCGCAGGGTGCTAGTGAAAAGCCAGGGAAGCCTCGCCTCTCACCTGCTGGTTGCAAGAAGGCTGCTGTGCTCTGGCTGTCACATCTGCACATCAGGCAGGAGAGGGAAGGGCCACACCAGCCAACTCTATCCCCTTAAACAGGAATGGAAGTCCTTCCTCTCTTCATCTTGCAGGCCCACCTCAAGCTCAACAGGGAAGGTAGGGCCTATCACAATCCCCAATTTGGAACTAGACTGCAAAGCTACGGTGATAAAAGCAGTATGGTACGGGCAAAGAAACAGACCTGAGGATCAGTGGAAATGATGAAATGATGCAGAAACTACTCCAGACACACCCAGCCACCTCACTGACAAAGGAGCCAACACCCTCTCTGAAGGAAAGAGAGCCTCTTCAGTAAACGGTGCTGGAAAAATTGGGCTTCAACTTGCCAAAGATTAAAACTAGACCTATTATCTCACCATGCACTAAAGTTGAAATGTATTAAAGATCTAAATATTAAAACAAACACTAAACTGACTAGAAGTGAGGTAGAACTCTTGAAGATATCAACAGAGACCAGGGTGGGGAGCAAAGGGAAGTTAGGAGCAGCTGTTGGGCCTGCCCAACCCACAAAACAGCTAGGTGGGTCTTTTTTCTTTTCTTTCTTTTTTTGGGTGGGAGAGTGGGTGCTAGAGATTGGATCTAGGGCTTCGTGCATGCTAGGCAGGTGCTCTACCACTAGTCTATCCCCATCCTTGCTAGAGGGATCTTCTTAAAAAAGAAACCCAAATCAAGCCAGGCATGGTATGCGTGTCTGTAATTCCTGGACTCTGGGAGGCTGAGGCAGGAGGATCCCAAGTTCCAGCCCACTGTAGGCAACTTAGTGACACAACAAGACCTTGTATCGACATTAAAAATAAAAAATGGGTTGGGATGGATAGTTCAGTGTGAATGCCCTGGGTTCAGTCCCCAGCACCAAAAACAAAACACAAACCCTACCCCAAAGCGTTCAGTGGTCCTCCTTGAGCACAGAATCCAGACGGTTCTCCAGGGGCCCCAGAGCTTCTCAAGACCCCTCACCTCTCTGACCTTAAGCACCCACACCCCGCCATGCCAGCATGGCGCCCACTATCGGGGCTCGAACGCTGGCCCAGTCACCGCGCTCCGTGAGGAGGAGAAAACGCCACTGGTGGCGCTCAAACCCACGCAGCCAGTCTCCGCGGTGCTTCAGGCCCGGGACGCCGGAGTCTCCAGAGGAGCAGGGACGGCGACTGTGACACTGGGCCTTCTGCAGGGAAGTGACCCGCTCCGCTCCCGTCTGACTTCCCTGAATCTCCGCAGCCCCGAAGGCTGCTTGTCACTGTCTCAGTCTTCTGTCAGGGATCCAACTACAGAAGCCTCCTCCAGACTTACTGGATTTTATTTCATGTTTAACCCAAGGCTTTCTCATGCATGCTAGAAAAGTGCTCGACCATCGAGTCACACTGTCCGCCCTTTCTTTCAAAACTTTGAGAGTCTAAGTGGTCCGGCCTGGCCTCCAACCGTCACCCTTCTGCCTCTCACGCCCGCCTTTTGCTTTCTGAGACGGGTCTCGCTGTGTAGTTCTGACATCAGCGATTAGAGCGCGGCCGACTGCTTAACTGCAGGTCCCAGGGACGAGCACTCACGGTTTCCAGTAAAATGACCCGGACCCAAACTCAGCTGAGGCTTGGGGTCCGGGCACCGCGTCTCAGGACCCGTACGGAGAAGTTCTCTTGGGGCTTTCTCGAAATTTGGACAACATAAAAGGCCCCAGGCCCCAGGCCCCAGGAAGGGCTTGCTAGCTGGCTCTCCTCACAGCGGTCTGCCCTGCATCCTCCAGGGTATTCTTTTATCTTGCTTTTTCCTCTTTTATTGGGCCCAAGCTGCCTCTGCGGGCCAGTTTCTCTCATTCTTCATTTTTACTTTTTCAGATAAACGTTGCCACTGCTTTTTGTTCATTTCATTCGAGTCTTTTGTTTGAGAGGAGAATAACCTGGAATCCGACTCCAGAATGAGAGGCGAGCAACCCAGAACCCAGTAACATTTGACTGGCGAGCCACTTTTAGAAGACGCTACCGGATAACATTTTGCTGTAGACATCGAGGGGACTCCAAAGCCAGGAGACTCCAGTGACAGTTCAGGCTGGCCTTCAACTCACTGTTTAGCCCAGGCTGGCCTCGAACTCAAAGCAATCTTCCTGCCTCGGCCTCCCGCGTGCTGGGATGACAGGCGTGCACCACCACGCTGGCTGACCTCTCCATTTTCAAATATTTAATCAGAAGTGTTCTTCACTGGGCTCGGTGGTGCCCTGTCGCCCCACCACGCAGGAGGCTGAGGCAGGAGGGTCACCGTGAGTTCAAAGCCACAGACTGAGAGTTAAGGCCAGCCTGAAAGCCAGCATGTGCGCTTCGGTCCTGCTCATGCTGGACGCAGCTGCTGAGGGTCTCCGCGGAGTGACGGCGGGGAGGGTGGGCTGCGGGGCTGAGCTTCGGGAGGACCCGCAGGGGCAGGCACACGAAGGTGGGCTCCAGACGGCGACACAGCTGGGTCTCCCCGCTGGGCGGGGCGGCAGGGTCACACAGAGGGAAGCAGGGAGAGGCGGGGAAGAGCGAGTGACTTGGACCGAAAGGTTTCCACTGAATTTACAGTGGGGTCCTGGGTGATATTAGGGGCTCTAGGGGCGCAGGGTAGCAGTTGACAGCCAAGGAGGAGTGGATCCCTGCTGCCCGGGGGTGGCCATGGGGCAGGGCTGTGAGAGGAAGGCGGGGAAGCAGTTGTGGGAAGGGGAGGCCGGTGCAGGGTGGCCTCTTAGGGTGGGAGACACTTTTTCATGTTTTGTAGTTTTTGAGACATGGTTTCGCTTTGCCGTTCGGGCTGGCCTTGAACTCACTATATGTAGCCCAGGCTGGCTGGTGATCCTCCTGCCTCAGCGTCCCAAGTGCTGCGATTAGAGGCGTGAGCCACCACCCAGCCGGTGGGAGACACTGGAACATCCAATGGTCTGACATTTTCGTCCTCCTGAGCTATTTTACTTTTAGGCTTAAAAAGTTAGGAGCTGTTTGGAATCGCCGCTCAAACTGGATCTGACGCCCAGAGAGCAAAGCCAGAGCTAATCAGGGGCTCCAGGGAGGCCCCATTTCGCTACCAACGGACCCACAGTGGGGTTTCTGTGTGGAGCCTGTCACCCGGTGTGC